TGTGTGTGTGTGTGTGTGTGTGTGTGTGTGTGTGTAAATTGAGGATGTGGAAAATGTCTTCTTTAAAACAACCCATTCTTAGCTATATACCCATCAGGAATGCATACATTATGTTCACCAAAATACATGTATAAGAATGTTCATGGAACTAGTATTCATAATAATCCAACACTGGGAGCAATCCAGATGTCCATCAACAATAGAATGGGGGTGTGCCTGGGTGGCTCAGTCCTTTGAGCGGCCTGGCTGACTCTTGATTTCAGCTCAGGTCATGATCTCTTGGTTTGCGGGTTGGAGCCCCACATTGGGCTCTGTGCTGACAGTGTGGAGCCTGCTTGGGCGCTCGCTCTCTCTCTCTCTCTCTCTCTCTCTCTCTCTCTCTCTCTCTCTCTCTCTCTCTCTCTCTCTCTCTCTCTCTCTCTCCCTCTCCTCTCTCTCTGCCCCTTCCCCGCTTGCACTCTCTTTCAAAATAAATAAACATTTAAAATATATATAAAAAATAAATACTAAAAAAGCCACAATAGAATGGGAAATATCAATTATTGTACAACAGTGAGAATGACTAAACTTGAAGTGTGTGCCACAGTATGGATGCATCTCCCAAGCATAATAATATTTCAGTGTAGGTATCCTGCCTCTAGCCCAGACAGAATGTTTAATCTCTGTATATCTTTAGTTTCTTCAGCTGTAAAATGATGTTGATAATGGTCGCAAACCTGATCAGGTTAAAGTGGAATTTCAGTGAGTCAGTACACACATAAAGAGCTTGGAAGGTATTACTCAGCAATCAAAAAGAATGAAATCTTGCCATTTGCAACAACATGGATGGAACTGGAGGGTATTATGCTAAGCGAAATAAGTTCGAGAAAGACAATCTTATGATTTCACTCATATGTGGAATTTAAGAAACAAAACAGATGAACACAGGGGAAGAGAAGGAAAAATAAGATAAAAACAGCAAGGGAGGCAAACCATAAAAGACTCTTAAATACAGAGAACAAACTGAGGGTTGCTGGAGGGGTGTTGGTAGGGGGATGGGTTAAATGGGCAATGGGGATTAAGGAGGGCCCTTGTTGGGATGAGCACTGGGTGTTCTAGATAAGTGATGAATCATTAAATTCTGCTCCTGAAACCATTACTATACTATGTGTTAACTAACTTGGATTTAAATTTAAAAAAAACAAAAAAAAAAAAAAAACAGCTTGGAAGAGTTCCCACTATATGGTAGGCACTATAAGTATAGGCTATTTTTAGTCTTGCCCTCCCTTCCTCCAGTTCATTCTTCATACTCCTCCCACAATGATTTTTGTAATACAGTCATTGGACAATTCATATAATTGACCTTCTTAAAGTTATTCAAGATTTTAAAAAAATTATTCAGGGTAAAATCCAAACTCCTTAGGGTGACAGGTGATTGCCCTCTTTTGGCCTTCTTACAGTGCTCTCTACCTTTGTTTCTGTGTTCCAATCATACAAGACTGTAGTGGCTTCTCAAGCTCTCTACCCTCTTATATAAATCAGGAGGTATTTTTTCCCCACTTACTTGGACTTTAGAAAATTGCTGAATGTTCTTCTATTCTTTTCTTTAAATTCTTTGAAGCTCAGTTGAAGAGGAAAATCCGCAAAAAGTCAAAGTGGTACTTAGGCACCATAACAAAACGAAGGAGGATTTCACAGGTGAAAGATGAGAGCCAAAATGTCACAGATGACAAGATTGAGAGTGATACAGAGGAAAATCAAGACACAAGTGTAGACCACAATGAGACTGGAAACACAGGAGAGTCCTCAGTGGAAGAAAATGAGAAACAGCAAAATGCCTCTGAAAGCAAAATAGAATTGGGGAATAATAACTCAAGTATTTGTGATATTGAGCATGAACTTGAAGAATCTGGGAAAACTATAGCATGCACAGAATTGAGGAAAGATAAAATTGTTTGCAACGGAGATGCTTCTGGCTCTCAGATAATAGATATTTCTGATGAAAATGAAGCTAAAGGTAAGGCTTTCTCAAGCTACTTACTAATTATAATTTTAAAAGATGTTTCACTCAAAGTTCTTAAATGACTGATTACCATTTCAGTTTATTCCTTTTCCTTTTCTTTCAGACTGCAGGTGTTAATTAGAAACAAATTAGCATTAACTTTACTTGCTATTTAGCTTGTAAATCACTGCTAAAACTATAGTGTGGCATCATATAGACCTGGAATTGAACCCCTAGTCCACTACTTAGTAGTTTGTGACCTTGGGCAAGGTCTTGTCCTATCAGTCTCAGTTTTCTCATCGGCAAAATTGGGGTGGATGGTAGTCAGGTAATGAAATACTTTGAGACTTGAATAAAAGAATTCATCTAAAGCATGTAGCAAAGTACTTGGCTACACAGTTTTTAAAAACTGGCAGGATACCCTCTTCTTTTTAAGCAAGAGAAGCAGTTTTCTGTGATCCTAGCTGAGTGGTGTAGAACATCACTCACCCCCATCATTCCTCTGCTTCTCTTAAAGGTTAAGTCCAAGATTATTTCTACTTATTGTAATGATCCTGCTCCCAAAGTTATTCATTTAGAATTGTCTTCTGTCTGAATCTTCTTGGATCTTTAGCAGTAGATTTGTTTGGGTTTTGGAAAAGCCAAACGTTATTTAGTCTTAAAAAGCAAAAAGAGGGGTAACAGAGTCAAAATTTATTTTGGTCAAAAACAAGTATTGATAATGTTAATGAGACTTTTTTTTCCCAGTGGCTTATAGGCTGTAGGGAAACCTTTTATCAAGCAATTCCTTGAAATGAGTTCTAGTGTGTTTGAGTAACCATAGCATAATGGACTAGGATATAGCCTTTCCAGTGTGGATATTTTAGGTGTTAGTCCTCTGGCTATATGAGGCAGTATGTTTTATGTGGATTCAGAGTTTTCTTTTTCTTTTATCATCTTTTTAAAAAGGATACTATTTAATGGGGTACAGGTACTTGTTTACATATCAGCAGATTTGGGTTCTTGTCCTAGCTCTTAACAACAATTAGGTATGTTGACCTTAGAAAAGTCTCTTCACCTCTCTTGACCTCATTTTTCCTATCTATCAGTGACTAGGTTATTCTAGGTTGGAGATAGGCAAACTTTTTCTATAAAGAGACAGATAGTAAATAGCCATGCAGCCTCTGTCACAACTAGTCCACTCTGTTAGAAAAGTAACATTGACATACATATGTAAAATGGGCATGGTTGTGTTCTAATAAGATTTTATTTATAGCCGTAGGGCAGATTAGGCCTATGGGTGGTAGTTGGCAATTCTTAGATTACTGAGGTCCCTTCCAGCTCTTAAAGTCTATGAATCTTGTATCTAAGTATAGAATAGTTCAACCTGTTGAGGATGCTTTGAAAAACTCAATTTGAGAAGTACTTCTCTCTCCCTTTTTTTTTTTTTTTTTTTTTTTTTTTTTTTTTTTTTTTTTTTTTTTTTTTTTTTTTTTTGAGTGTGTAAGTGGCAGTATCTTAATTTTACAGTAAAGCGAATCAACCAGAATCAGTGTCTGTATTTAGTAAATATGTCCTGCTAGGTAATCTGCCTAATATTTATGTTAAGCATTATAATGTCTGTGAACCAAATAATAGTTCATTTTTCATCCTAGAAATGTGCATTCTGCGAATGACTCGAGCTAGACGTTCCCAAGTAGAGCAACAGCAACTCATCAGTGTTGAAAAGGCTTTGGCAATTCTTTCCCAGCCTACACCCTCACTTGTTGTGGACCAGGAGCGATTAAAAGTATGTAAATTGAAATCGTAATGCTTTCATTGTGCAGATTAGTAACATAAGCCACCAAAAATGACTTGTAATAGTATATTTTATCAATTTGGCAATAAATAATGACCTTTTATGAAAGGATGAACTTGGTATGGAATAACTTTCATAAAAGCAGTAGTTAGAGATGGCTAGTGTATTGATATTGTAGTTCTTAACATATTTGTCTGCATTATTGATCCTATACATTGTTTTTTATGGCCATCACCAGTGAGCATTTTAGTTGGTTTTTACTTAACTCTACTGGCATTTTTTTGGTTAACTGAGGGGTCATGGCATATTCTTGTAGGGCCAGACTTGAAGCATCACAGATATCCAGTGAGTCCATTCCAGTCATAAGAAAAAACATTGAGCAAATATGAAAAAGCCTTTTTATAAGAAAAAAAACTGAAGTAGTGAGGTAGTTCACCGTTCATGTGCTCTTTTTGTTGCACTTTATAAGGTACCTACAGTGCCATAAAATACCCTGCAAAAATGTTGCTTTTTTGCTTATTAATCTTTGAGATTTCTTTGACAGACTTTAGTTTGTCCGTAGAGATTTCTAGCTAAAGTTGCAATTGGACACCTCCTCAGCTACAGTTTTTAGGATGGGAGTTCCCCAGGGCAGAGACGACCAGGATTACAGAACGATGATGCTGAGTTAACTGTTGCTAACTGTCAGAGCCACTAGCAGTGTCACCACGTCTCACCAAATAGCTAGGTCTGCCCTCACTCTGGCTTATATGCTAAAAATTCCCCACATCTTCAAAAATATAGTATCTTGTCTCATGGAATTTATCTCTCATATATATAAACACTCGTGTTTTCTTTTAGAATCTTTTGAAGACTGTTGTTAAAAAAAGTCGAGAATACAATATTTTTCAGTTGGAGAATTTATATGCAGTAATCAGCCAATGTATTTATCAGCATCGCATGGACTATGACAAAACAGCACTTATTCAGGTAAACCAATCTATATAAGGAATTATAAGATGATAAGAATTTTTAAAGACCATTTTTTAATATGTGGATTATGGACTATTTCTAGACACAGCCAAGTTCTGTGCTTTTTGAAATCTAGCACTTCACTAGTTTGTGTTTCTTCAAAAAACATTGCAACTATTGTATTAGAAGACTATGAAAAATCTCTATTTTGTGTGTGTATTGATGAAGATATAAAGCTCTTTTAAAGATAAGACTTAAGATGGATCAATCTGTATGTCTTTACCTACTCTTTATAGTGAGCATTGGTACTAATTTTTAAAAATAGATATTGGATGATAATATACTATACACACTACTGGTACCTACTAATATAGCTACTAGTATATAATATACTCAGTAATTAGTATATCTACTAAGTATAACATGGTACCTAAATAGCATAATATGTATGTAACATTAGTACCTACAAAATATGAAATATTAATACCTAGAAATACAGTAGTGCCTTGATTATAACTATTTGAACTTAACATAAGACGAATGCATCTCAGACTCATTTCAAAGGGATTTAAATGAAGTCCCATTGGTGATATCAGTTTGTGTGATAGTCCTAAATACTGAACTAAATTTCTATTTTCACTATCATATATGGGTTAATAATATTCTTGAGGTTGTTGACAAAATAGATGTAATGTTTCTTTAACTTTTCATATTGAAAGTTACTATTTTTCCTTCTTACTCTTTATCTAGAAAATGGAGCAAGAGGTAGAAAACTTCAGTTGTTCCAGATCATGATGTCTTGGTATCAAATATTCTTTATATTCAGTTCCTATTTAATTCACCTTTGTTGTGTCCGTATAACTGGTGCGAGATGAAATCCTGCATCTTTAAGGAAAAGATTAAAATAGTAAATAAAAATATTTAAGCTTTCTTGGTATTTATGTACATGTGTAAGATAAATTACAGAGATAACTGATAAATATTGAAAGTTTGATTGAAAAAGGCACTGTAATAATAGTAATTCTGTAGCATATGAAGTGTGGCCAACTCTTAATAAAAGTAATTTTGATAACTAATGTTTTATGGCACTTAAGAGTAATTAGTGACATTGATATTTTTTGTTTTGAGCACTTTTAAGTTTCTTCCTTCCTAAAAATAGTTTCTTGTATCAGACTAGAAACTTAATCATTGTGTCTTTGCCATTCTTTTTTTTTTTTAATTTCCATCTCTCGTTTTCCTTTAGCTTTCTTTGCCCAGTTACTTAAAAGCCAGGATTCAAGTCATGATTTGTGGGAAGGTCCTTGAACAACTTCTGTACATGAATGTCAAAATTGATGCTTTTTAGATAAACATTTTTATAATTCTGATTTGGGTTAATAAAGATTTTAAATATTTTTGGTTTATTTTTATGATTATACACACAAATGTATTAATAATTACTTTGTTGAATATCTTTTTAATAGAACAAAAGTTTTATATTTGAAAACTCTTTATATCCTTCTAAGTTTGTGTTTAGGTTGTATTCTATAGATAGCTTTTATATACAATTATATAAAGATAAATATTATAAATTTTGTATTAATGATACCAAAAATACATTTCTTTCTTAAAGCAATAAAACTATTCACTACCATGCATATTCTTTTGTTTTGTTCTTTTAAAGAGACATTCTAGTTTGTAAAAATAGTTGGAAACTTCTTTAGAGGGGAATAGGAGATAATGATCTCATATGAGAGATTCTGAACTCTAAAACAGTTTCAGGGGCACCTGGGTGGTTCAGTTGGTTCAGCGTTCGACTCTTGATTTTGGCTCAGGTTATGATCTCATGGTTTGTGAGATCAAGCCTCGCATCAGGTTCTGCCCTGCCAGTGCAGACCGTGCTTGGGATATTGCAGACCCTCCTCCCTCTCTCCCACCCTCCCTCCTTTCTCTCTCTCTCTTTCTCTCTCCCTCCCCCAGCTTGCCTGGCAGACTTCCCCCACCACCTGCGCACACACACTGCACTTGCCTTTTTACCTGTGCTTGCTCTCTTTCTCTCAAAATAAACATTTTTTAAAAGGGGGGTCGGTGGTGCCTGGGTGGCTCAGTCAGTTAAGCGTCCGGCTTTGGCTCAGGTCATGATCTCACAGTTTGGGAGTTCAAGCCCTGCATCGGGCTGTGCTGATAGCTCAGAGCCTGGAACCTGCTTCAGATTCTGTATCTCCCTCTCTTTCTGCCCCCGCACCCCCCGTTTATGCTCTGTTTTTCTCTCTCTCCCAAGAATAAATGACCATTTAAAAAAAATTTTTTTTTTTTTTTTTAACGTTTATTTATTTTTGAGACAGAAGACAAAACATGTGGGAAGGGTCAGAGAGAGGGAACACAAATCGAGAAACCAGGCTCCTGACTCATCAGCACAAATAACAGCCGGGGCTCGAACTCATGGACCCAGCCAGTTGTGACCTGGGCGGATTAGACAGCAGCAACGACTGAGCCACCCAGGCGCCCCTAAAAAATTTTTTTTTTAAATAAAAGTTTCAGAGGTGAGTTGCCTTTTGTTGATTTATCAGCATACTGTATTTAAATTAAGCCTTTTAAAACTCAGTAATTTAGATACCTTAATTAATAGATACTGTCTATATAATGCATAACACAATGCCAGTCACTGAAAAAATGTAAAGTAGCATATATTTCTGGACTTAAGTATACACACATACACATACACTCATTTTTATTAAAGCTTATTCTAACTTACTCCAGATGCACCTTCTGTAACTCCAGATGCATCATTTTTTATGTATAGCTTCTGTAGTAAATTTTAAAGGTGAAAATTGCTTCTCAGACTTGCTTGTATTTCTTCATTATTTCAAAATATCCTAAAGATAATCCAGTGTAAACAAGTACAAAATCTATTACTGTGCATAGTTTAAAATGCTGTTCACACTGGAATGTTCATAGGATCTTTGTACTTTAGCTACAAAGATGAACATACTTCCTGTCCTTTTCATGACACACTGTCTATGGACAGGGAAATAATTTGTCTATGTTTCCTATTCAGACTTTCAAAACCATGCTGAAATTGCAAGCCTAGGATGTTTTATCTTTTTTGTTTTGTTTTTGTTTTTTGTTTTCTGTGGGGTTTTTTTGCTTAAAAGTGCAATCAGTCTGTAGTAATTAGGGCAAGAAAAAGAAATAAAAGGCATCCAAATGGGAGAGGAAGAAGTAAAGCTATTCATAAATGGCATGATTTTGTATGTACAAAATTCTAAAGAACTCACAAAATATCTGTTAGAACTAATAAATTCTGCAAAGTGGCAGAATAGGTCAACATAAAAATCAGTTGTATTTTAATATACTAGCAATGAACAATCCGAAAAGAAAATTAAGAAAGCAATTCCATTTACAATAGCGTCTGAGATAATAAAATACCTTGGAATAAATTTAACCAAGGAAGTACAAGACTTGTACACTTACAGTACAAAATTTTGATGAAAGAAATTGAATAAGACCTACATAAATGGAAAGACATCCTGTATTCAAGTATTGGAAGACTTAATGTCAAAATGGCAGTATTCACCAAAAGAATCTACAGATTCAGTTTAATACCTATCAAAATCCCAATGGTTTTTTGCAGAAATAGGAAAGTCAGTCCTATATTCATAATATAATTGCAAGGGACCCTGAATAGCCAAAACAATCTTGAAAAAAGAAGAGAAAGTTGGGAAACTCACACTTCCCAATTCCAAAACTTAACACAAAGTTATATACAAAACAGGTGATGCTAGCATACAGGATAGCTAGAAGATCAATGGAATAGAATTGAGAGTCCAGAAGTAAATCCATTAATCTATGGTCAATTGATTTTTGAAAATGATGTCTAAGACCATTCAATAGGGAAAGAATAGTCCCTTCAACAAATGGTGTGCCGGGAAAGCTGGATATCCACATGCAAAAGAGTGAGTTTGGACGTCTACATCACACCATGTACAAAAATGAACACAAATGGATCAGAGACCTGAATTTAATAGCTAAAACATAAAATTCATAGAAAAAAACGAGGACAAATCTTTATGACCTTGAATTTGGCAATGATTTCTTAAATGTGGCAAAAAACACTAGCAACAAAAAGAAAATTAGATAAATCAGACTTCATCAAAATGAAAACCTTCATGTCTCTTGTACAAATACTATCATCTCAAAGGATTATTAAAGCTCACCAACCAAAAGACAATTCAGTAATAGATGGGGAAGTTTTTGATGACTTAACAAATTTGAACAGTGTCCTGGTCAAATATTTGGAAGATGCCCCTCTGCTGGAATTAGCCTGTTTTTCTCATGATTAGACTGGGATTACAGATTTGGGGGAGGAAGATCACAAAAGTAAAGTGATTATATCAGGTTACATACTATCAATGTGATTTATGGCTGTTGATTGGCCTTGACCACCTGGCAGAAATCGTGTTTCTCAGGTTTCTCCATTGTAAAGTAACTTCTTTCCCTTTCAGTACTGTACTCTGGAAGATCGCTGTGCACAGCCCACTCATAAGGATTGGGGGCCTGTCTCCCCTTTTGCCTTTCTTAAAACTGATTTTTTCAGGGATCCCGATTGGTATGCACTGTAGGATTAGTTGATGTTATTTCAGATTTACTTGTCTTCTCCCTGCTACCCTCCCACCCACACATATACATTACTTCTTTGCAATTGAGAGATTGCCCCTAACTTTGTTAGGACCTGAGGAACGACCTCTTGCTGAGGGATACTGTGGGGATAAAAAATAACTCTATATTAGGACATAGAGGAAATGATAGCCATTTTGCCTCCTAATATCCATTCTCTCTGCTTATCACAATACCCAGAGCAATCTGTCCTGGGAGATTATGTTTGCTAACGCTGAAGCAAAATGTGGCCATGTGACCACATGAGATACAAAGGGAAGTGTGCACAATTTCTAGGAGAGCTGCTAGGAAGGGAGGGGGTACCCCGAGAACACTTCCTGACCTGTGCTTCATTTTACCTGCTGCCTAGAATATATATATACATAAAATGGCTAGAACTCCAAAAGCTATCTTGGACCATGAGGTGACCTTAAAGATGGAACCCATGCCCTGCTTCACAAAAGTATAAGATGAAAGAACCTTGCTCATAATAACTTTAGGGGATTGCTATTCAAGTCCTTAACTACATCTGGGCTTTTTTTTTTTTCCCAATCTGGACTTCTTGAGAGAGAAATTCTTGTTTATCTTTTTTCTTTTCTTTCTTTTTTTTTTTTTTTTTTTTAGAGAGAGAAAAAATGTGAGTGGCAGAGAGAAAGAGAAACGGGACTCACCTGAAGTGGGGGCTCGTGTTTTTACTCAAAGTGGGGCTCACGTTTTTACCTGAAGCGGAGCTTGAGCTACCCAATGTGGGACTTGAACTCACGAACTGTGAGATCATGACCTGGGCCAAAGTCAGACACTTAACCAACTGAGCTACCCAGGTGCCCCAACCTTCTCATTTTCTGAGGAAAACTCATCCTGACTTTTTGTTTTATGATTATAGATCCAGAACTTACATAATGTCCATATTTGCCACTAAATAAGAATCAACTGACCTAATGACTGGTTAATGGATAAGGAAAGCAGGACATTAAGGAGCAAGATAGGAAGATAACAAAGCTGACAGAAAATAGAGGTCCTTGGGGGTTATAGAGAAGGGAAGCCCATACCTCAGACAAAGAGTAGGATGTAGCTAATAGCATCTAATTTTCAAAAAGATACAGAATCATCTTCATTATATTTTTAGAAGTTGCATCTGTTAGATTTATCCAGCTCCAAGG